AATTAATTCAGGGCTACCATTGAGAAAAAAACCAAATCAAACCAAGCCAAACCAAACCTTAGAAGAACTTTCCAAAAATAACATAGTTTTGTAGCTCATTCTTAGGGTGCAAAGCTATTAATATTGACTGAATAAAAAAGTCAAAGTGTTCATAGAAACAAGCAAGAAATAAGTAGGGGCATTAAGATTATAGGGAGGGGAAGAAACTGAGAAGCGAGCTAGGGATTGTCTGAATGGAATGTGCTAAGGGAGTGTGTGCAACATGAAAGGCACAGGTTGGTTAAATACATGCATTTTATTTTATTTTTAAAATTTTAAATTATTTATTTATTTTTGAGAGAGAGAGTGAGAGTGCAGAAGGGGCAGAGAGAGAGAGGGAGACACAGAATCTGAAGCAGGCTCCAGTCTCTGAGCTCTCGGCACAGAGCCCATCGCGGGACTCGAAGTCATGAACCACGAGATCGTGACAAGTGCTGAAGTCAGACACTTAACTGACTGAGCCACCCAGGAGCCCCAATACACGCATTTTGGGGCGCCTGGGTGGCTTAGTCGGTTAAGCGTCCGACTTTCGCTTAGGTCATGATCTCGCGGTTCGTGGGTTCGAGCCCCGCGTCGGGCTCTGTGCTGACTGCCAGCTCAGAGCCTGGAGCCTGTTTCAGTCTGTGACTCCCTCTCTCTCTGACCCTCCCCTGCTCACGCTGTCTCTCTCTCTCTCTCCTACAAATAAATTTAAAAAAATAAATAAATAAAAAAATAAAAGGTAGGTGGTCATGCACACAACTTGTGGCCTTTGGAGAATCAGGGAATTGGTTTGGATGAAAGGAAATACTTTTTTTCCATCCGGAGTGAGATGGATTTTAGACTATTGTTTCTATGAAGCAAGACCTCCAAACATTGGCATTAAGATGCCTCATATTTGCCTACATGTTATACTTTAAAATTATTTTTTGGCAAATTTTAACATTTCTATTATAAATTTTTAGGGAAAGGATTAAAAGGAAATCCATCTGTTGATGTTTATTTTTCTTGTCTTTGTTAACCAAAGTCTTTTTGGAATGTTCCAGGGTAAATTTATGTCTTCTGTCCATCTTGGGGAAGGACAGCTTCTTCAACTTGGGTCATCCTACTAGGGGAAAGGACACTTTAGAAAAGGCAGAACTTGGTGACCCTGTCTCTTCTGTACTCAGCAGAGGGAGTTTCCAAACAGTATGGGCATGACTCTGAGGTGCCAAATGGATTCACCTCAGTGTCGAAGGTAAGAGAAGTAGCTTCTGAATCATTCACTGTGTACTAGACGCTGATCTGGATGCCTTTGTCAATCTCCTGTAACCGTTGTTTAAAATATTTTTTTAAAGTTTATTTATTTATTTTGAGAGAAACAGAAAAAGAGAGAGAGAGAAAGCACATTTGTGTGCTGCAAAACCAAGTGAGGGAGGGCAGAGAGAGAGAGAGGGAGAGAGAGAATCCCAAGGAAGTTCCACGCCCTGCACGGAGCCCAACACGGGGCTTGATCTCATGAATGTGAAATCATGACCGGAGCTGAAACCAAGAGTCAGACACGTAACTGACTAGCCACCTGGGTACCCTTCTCCCAGAGTCTTTAAATGACGTTGCAAAGTGGACATAAAGAATTTCCCTGTTAAGCAAAAATAAAATAAAAGCAGGGAAGGAGCGAAACATAAGAGACTCTTAAATATGGAGAACAAAAAGAGGGTTGCTGGAGGGGTTGTGGGGAGGGGAGATGGCCTAAATGGGTGAGGGGCATTAAGGAATCTACTCCTAAAAATCGTTGTTGCACTATAGGCTAACTTGGATGTAAATTATAAAAAACAAATGAAAAAAACCCTGAAAAACAAAACAAAACAAAAAAATTTCCCTGTTTATGGGGTGCCTGGGTGGCTTAGTCAGTTAAGCGTCTGACTGCAGTGCAAGTCATGATCTCGCGGTTCGTGAGTTTGAGCCCTGCGTCGTGCTCTGTGCTGACAGCTCAGAGCCTGGGGCCTGCCTCAGATTCTGTGTCTCCCTCTCTGCCCCCCCCCCCCCGCTTGCACTCTGTCTTTCTTTTTCTCTCTAAAAAATAATTTTTAAAAAAAACATTACAAAAGTAATAAATACTTTTTATTAAAAACAAATAAATAAATAAATACAAGAAGCTCCCTGTTTAAATGAGGCGGCACAAGAGAGGTTGGGTAACTTACCTGCAATCACCCAGCTAAATGGCCGAGCTGGTATTAAGCCCAGTGTGTCAGTCTTTGCGGCTTTCTGTCGGGTCACACTTCCCAGAAGCCCTGGAATCATCATCCAGGGGAGATGGCGTCCCAGAAAGCCCACCCAGTGGGGAGGATGAAGGCTGGCTGGGCCGGCGTAGCGGGGAGCTGGGGTGGCGGGAGCCGCCAGGTGCCGCAGCTGTCTGGGTCAAATGAAGCCTGATCCTTTCGTAGCTTGATTTGGCCTCGAACTGGAAACAGATGGGTCTGGCCTGCCTGAGGGTCTGAGGGAGGCTGAGCGGACAAATGGGTCCTGGCTGCCATTGCTCCCGCTCCAAGGGCCTGGGGCTGGAGCTGCTTTGGAAACAGAGCTCCGGTGTTACCCTTTGACGTGGAAAACCTTCGAGAGGAATTCATCTGCGAGGCTTCAAGTCGAGAGCGCTCACCCTTTCCAAGGGCAGCCGACTCGGGGAGACCTGGGGCAAATCCAGGGAGATAAGCAGATGTCAGCAGGTGTGTTACCGGCAATGTGGCTCGCTGCCCGAAGAGAAGATCAACAGGGGCCGCAGGGAGATGCCTAATGGACTTAATGCCCATTCAACAGCGCAGACTCATCCTTTCATAACACTGAGTAGTGGCTAGAGATGCTGGATGGTTTAGATACGCCCTGAAATTGGATAAGCAGGGGACCCAGCTCACGTGTGTTGAATGAATGATTGAATGAATGAACGGAAACTTGGACATTGATTCCTTCACTGCTCACCTATCAATAGGGAGGCCAAGAATGTGGTTTGCCTAGGACCCATGTGTTTTCTGGGGTGTGGGCCTTTCCGTCCTAAAACGAGGGATGTCCTGAGCACACGAGAGCTAGATGGTCCTCTGTGTACTGAAAACCATGATGGACCAGTTCCCGAGCCCTCACTGGGCGTATGAGGCTAAATCATATGCAGTCCCTGCTCTCAAGGAGCCCACATACGGTCAGGATAGATTAATATGACACCGCTCAATGCCATGATAGGGCCATGTTCAAGAGCAAGGCCGTGGAGTCAGGAACACCATGATGGCTTTTAAGAGAAGGAGCAAATGTTGGAGGCGAGTCTTGCTGGGGGAGGAGCTCAACAGATCTCTCGAGAAGCTTGGAAAGGGCCTTGGGGCTAAGGGACAGCTGGGACAAAGGCCCAGCGTCTCCGACCACAGTGGCTTGGCTCAAGAAGCAGTGGGCAGCCTATGTGTGTGTTGGTGTGCGTGTTGGGGACAAATGTGGAAACACGGGTGACTGTGAGGTTGGAGAGGTAATTGGAGGGGCCAGGTGACAAGTTGTAGACCATGTCAAGAAAAAGGAAATGTATACTGTAGACAATAGGTTTTTTTAAGCAGGGAGAGAGAGAATCCGATATGACAAATGTTTCATTCATTCAATAAGCGTTTGCTAAGCCCCTACTGTGTGCTGGCCATTGTGCTAGAGGACTGAACCCATGCACGCATGGCTGTTTGCCCAAAAGTTTCTTTTTAATTTTCCAGTTGCGGCGAAGGTCCTTGAAATCCAGGGACTAGCTGATAGGATGTTTGGGCCTGTGGCCTCTGTCAGAAAAATTGTTCCGCAGTGAGCGAATCTAAGGAGGAGGCCGCCAGCGCCAGCTCCAACCTCCGCCCCCTTATCTGTTTTTCTTTTTCCAAAAGACCTTGAGGACTGTAGTGGATTCCACTACAAAACGGTTACACAATTTCCCCCCGGAGAAAGCGAGTTTCCACCTTAGGGGATGAATAAGCCCTTTCTTTTCTGGAGAGCCGGCCGACGGAGGCCCCGGGCTGGGTCCCGCAGGAGGGGCGGTGTGGGGACCAGCGGGCCTCGGTCTACTTTGGGGGTGACTGTTTACTCGTTAAACAAAGTCTGCAGGGCAGAGGCCGGGCTGCAGGCCCCCGGGGGTGGGGGGGGGCTCATAAAGCAGGGGATGGGGGTCAGCCCGCAGCGGCGGCCGGTGAGCGGGCGGGCCCCCCAATTCCTCGCTGCCCCAGCATCCATTTTTCCGGGGCTGCGGGTCCTATAAATGGTGCCTTTGAGGACAGCTGCTCTGCTGACATCGGGTCCCTCCCTGCAGCACCCACTCGGCCACTGGATTCTGAAAGCTGATTGTCCGTCCTCAAGCCCTGCCCTCCTGCGACATTCCTCACGCTGACCATTGTCTGCAGAAAGAGGCCATTGTCTGGGGCTGACATATCTGCTGACGGAGGCACATGAAACGAACAGAGCTTTGGGGAGAAAGAAATCCACCCAAAACAACAGAAAAAAAAAAAAAAAAAAAAAAAAAAAAACTCGCCGGAGGGCAGAGTTTAGACGGGGCTTGTTGAATTTCCTGATTTGCTGGNCTCACGCTGACCATTGTCTGCAGAAAGAGGCCATTGTCTGGGGCTGACATATCTGCTGACGGAGGCACATGAAACGAACAGAGCTTTGGGGAGAAAAAAATAAATAAAAAAAAAAAAAAAAAAAAAAAAAAAAAAAAAAAGCCTGAGCCTCGCCGGAGGGCAGAGTTTAGACGGGGCTTGTTGAATTTCCTGATTTGCTGGTGTTCTTCCCAAGAGGAAATGCCCCCCATTATGGGAGGATCAGAGTTTTATCTCTGGGCTGGAATGACACCATTTGTGTCTTTGTGTCAACAGCACAGAGAGGCATTGTTGAGGGTTCTGTGGCCGGCGCTGGGAAGGGCTTGTTTGAAGAGAAAAAAAGAAAAAACCCAGAACAATGTTTACCCAGCAGGCAGCTCCTGCCAAAGCGGCCACGGCCGGCCGCCACCCTCCGCACTGGGATGTCAGCTGGCCGGCCAGGCCCCCTCGGCCGTGCCCTGGCCTTGAGAGCAGCCGCGCGGGCAGCTGGCGGGGACAGGTATGCGGGGCCAGCTCTTAAAACACCCATGCACAGCACCGTCCCCGAGCCAGAGCTACAGGTCAGTGCTGGGACAGCAGAACCGTCGCTCCGGGGTGTGTCAGTCGCTCTGGGGACTCAGCCTCAGAGAGGTGCTTCTCAAAGTGTGGTCCCCTGGCCGGCAGCCTCTGCATTTACCAGGAGCTTGTTAGACTAGCAGGCTCTCCGGGCGCCTGGGGGCTCAGTCGGTTAAGTGTCTGACTCCGGAATTCGGCTCAGGTCGCGATCTCACGGTTTGGTGGGTTCGAGCCCCGTGTGGAGTTCTATGCGCTGACCGCGTGGAGTCTGCTTGGGATTCTCTGTCTCCCTCTCTCTGCCCCTCCCCCGCTCACTCTCTCTCTGTCTCTTCTCCAAAAAAAAAAAAAAAAAAATGTAGGCTCTCAGGCCTCGCCTCAGATCTGTCACAGTCAAAGCTGCATTTTTTTGGGTTTTTTTTTAAGTTTATTTATTTATTTTGGGGAGGCAGAGCATGAGCGGGGAAGGCGCAGAGAGAGCGGGAGAGAATCCCAAGCAGACCCTGTATTGTCAGTGCAGAGCCCGCCTTGAGGATTGAGCTCACAGACAGTAAGATCAGGACCCGAGCCGAAGCCAAAGTTGGACATTTAACTGACTGAGCCACGCAGGCGTCCCTCGAAGCTGCATTTTAGCGAGATCCTCTGAATGAGTTTACACCTTCGGCTTGAGAAGCACCGGCCTAAGGCAGGGGTTCTCAAGGGTGACTGCCCGGGGAAATCACCTGGAGGGCTTTGCAAAGTCCCAGTGACCCGCGGCGTCTCAGGCCACTGATGTAGGGTCTGTAGGGGAAGGAAGGACCATCCGCGTTTCCAAGTCTCCGCAGGGGATTCCAAGGCTGAGGCAGAGGCTGAGGCAGAGGCGCTCTCCGTCCTAGGTCCTGGGACTGAGTCTGCACCGGCTATGATGCCACAGTTCCTGAGCTTTACCTTTTCCTTTTCTTTTTTTTTTTTTAATATTTTTATTTATTTCTAGGAGAGAGAGAGAGAGAGACAGCGTGAGCAGGGGAGGGTCAGAGAGAGAGGGAGTCACAGACTGAAACAGGCTCCAGGCTCCGAGCTGGCAGTCAGCACAGAGCCCGACGCGGGGCTCGAACCCATGAACCGCGAGATCATGACCTAAGCGAAAGTCGGACGCTCAACCGACTAAGCCACCCAGGCGCCCCTCCTTTTCTTTTTTAATATTTATTTATTTATGTACTTTGAGAGAGAGTGAGCTTGTGTGTGAGAGCAGAGTTAGGACAGGGAGAGAAAGAGAGAGACAGAGAAAGAAAGAATCCCAAGCAGGCTCCACACTCAGCTCAGAGCTCAACACTGGTCTTGAACTCACGAACCGTGAAATCATGACCTGAGTCAAAATCGAGAGCAGGTGCTTAACCGACTGAGCTACCCAGGTGCCCTTCTTGAGCATTTTCTATGTGAGAAGTGCTGAGGCTTCCTCAGTGAAGATGGTATGCGTTCATGACTACAATGCCGTTCTGGCCCAGAGAACTCCTATTCATCTTTCAAAACCCAGTTAAAAAGCTTCCTCCCCCGTGAGGCATTCCTAGATCTCCTAAAGGAGGCAAAGTGATTCTTCCTCTGCCCTCCCCCTGCCCCCTGCATCTTTCTATTGTGGCACTTGTCACATTAAGGTTTTTTTTGTTTTGGGTTTTTTTTTAATTTTAATTTTTTAATAGTTTATTTATTTTTGAGACAGAGAGAGACAGAGCATGAGTGGGGGAGGGGCAGAGAGAGAGGGAGACAGAGAATCTGAAGCAGGCTCCAGGCTCTGAGCTGGCTGTCAGCACAGGGCCCGACGCAGGGCTCGAACCCATGAACCGTGAGATCATGACCTGAGCCAAAGTCGGACGCTTAACTGGCTGAGTCACCCAGGCGCCCCTTGTCACATTAAGGTTTAATGATCTATTTACTTGTCACTAAACTGGGAGACCTGAGTTCAGTGACTGCATCTTATTTATCTTTGTACCCCTGGGGTCTGGGGCAGGGCCTGGGCATCAAGTAGGCGCTCAATAAATGCTGTGACTGATAACACAAATATGAATGAACACAAGGACGAGTGAAGATACCTGCCCTGTCTCTGAAAAAAACAAAATTCTAGGAGTGCCTGGGTGGCTCAGTGGGTTATGCGCCCAACTCTTGGTTTTGGCTCAGGTCATGATCTCATGATTTTGTGAGTTCGAGCCCCGCATCCGGCTCTGTGCTGACAGCTCAGAGCCTGCTTGGGATTCTCTCAATCCCTCTCTCTCTGTCTTCCCCTGCTCACGCTGTCTCTCAAAAATAAATAAATTTTTTAAAAAAAGAAAAACCTAAAATTCTAGCAGAATAGATCACCTTCCACAGTTAATGAGATGTTGACTTCTTTTTTTTCACTAATTTATTTTTTCAAGTGTATTTATTTTTATTTTTTAACTTACTGTCAAATTGGCTAACATACAGTATATAAAGTGTGCTCTTGGTTTTTGGGGGTAGATTCCTGTGGTTCATCGCTTACATACAACACCCAGTGCTTACCCCAACAAGTGCCCTCCTCAATGCCCATCAGCCCCTTTCCCCTCTCCCCTACCCCCCATCCACCCTCAGTTCATTCTCTTTATAGACATTGACTTCTGATAGGCATTGTGACTGGGGTTTGACCAGGGCCCCACGGGAAGGCAGAGCAGGGGAGGGGGGCTTTCTTAGCCACACTGCTCCAGGCGTGCCGGGCATGTCAGTGTGGCATCCCTAGCCCAGACCTCAGAGATGGCACTCGAATGGTCCCCTTGGGCTCCTTCCCTTATCATATTTGGAAACAGGAAGATCCTCCAATTGATGGAAGCTAAAGATTCTGTTTTTGTTTCTAGAAGATGCTGGTTCTGTTACCTGTGAGCCAGGTGGCCATCCTTGTGTTGTCAGACCCCAAAAACACGAGCCCGGAGAGCCTCCAGAGGAGCCTAGTGGTTTGGGTGTCTGCCGAGCGATGGTGTGGCTGCCCCGGTTGCCGTGTGTCTGTGACAGTTTGGCCCGTAGGCCAGCGGATCACTGCAAAGGTCAGGGTTCCCCGGGCCGCCGCCTTCCGCGGTTAGAAGCAGCATAGACTGCCCAGTCTGCCCACACTTCAGGACGAAGCGGGCTCCCTCACTGCTGAGGATTCGTCAAGCCGGGCCTCCTAGGGGATGGGCAGAGGTCAGCCAGGGAGATAAATGGGTACAAAAGAAGCTGAGGCAGGTGGTGGGAGTTGGCATGCAGAGGCCAGGGGTCAGGGCCCAAGGTTTGAGACAAGAGACGGGAGGCAGAAAGGCAAAGTGGAGGGGTCTCGGGCAAGAGCCAGGAGAAGGGACTGAATAGCAGCGGAGTTTTAAACCCTTCTGGTGGCATGCTAAGGAAGACAAGGGCTCTGGGGGTGGGGTGGTGTTAGGGACGCAGGGGGCCTGTGTGGCTCATTTGCTGGGCAGAAGGGAGGAGAATCACCCAGTGAGCTAATGCTAGCCATTGGATACCATTAGGTGCCCCATTAGGTGGCATATGGCTGCAATCTTCCCCCAAGGGTGTCCTCTGAAGGTCTCTCCTGGAGCTCAGCGGGGACACAACTCTAGAGCCATGTCACTGCTCTGCTGGGGTGTTTCAGAGGGAGATTTCCTTCTGTCTTTTCTCAACTTCCTGCACAGGCCAGGGCTCATTTTCTGTGTCAAGGAAATCAGTTCTACTCTTCATTAGTGTATCTCCCTATTCCCTGCGCACCTGACACAGCCATCTCGTGGGTCAGGGAGTCAAGACCTGCTCAAGTGAAAGGTACCCTTGAAGTCATCCGATCCCTACAAGTCCAACTCCCATTGGTTCCTTCAGGAAGGTAGCTTCAAAAACGGAGGGATGGGCAAGAGATTCCTTGACTTCTAGGAGAGGAAGAAAGCCTGGGGTGGGGGTTGGGGGGGTTGTTTGGGGCATGTCCTCATCTTGGCTTCCTCCTTTCCAATCCCTCCAATGCCGGGCAGCTCCCAGGGCTGAGCAGGGCAAGGCACCGGGAGAGGCCAGGAGGGAAGAGCCCGTGAATTCCAGCGGGGTTTCCGTGTGATCATGAGGGTCGAATTCCGTGGGGCTCATTCAGGGATGCCATCGGGCTGCAGGGGGAGGAGCTGCTGTGTAGTGTGCCTTGTGTGTAGACATTTTGGCTACTGGGTAAGACATGTGGGAGCGTGGGACCCAGCTCAGGAACTTGACAGCTGATAACCCTAGAAGGAAATGATCATAGCTGCACCTTGATTTTGCCCATGGTTATAGATATGTGCCTCCATGTCCTACCACTCACACGCCCGGTACCTTCTCCAGCGCTGGTCTGGTCTTGCCCATTCTCTGGTGTCCTGGGTGCCCAGCTTGGGACCCGGCCCGGCCTAGTACTGGGTAAGCATTTCCTATATGGAATGACTTGCCTCTTACCAAGGGTGCACTGTCTTGGGGTTTGGTAGTAGAGGCACAGAAGAGTCCAGAATGCCACTCAGAGCACCTGACTTCTTTACTTTCTCACTTGCTACATGGGCATAAGAATCCCCCCTCCCACCCCCAACATACAGGGTGCTACAAGGAACGCATAAGAACCTGAATGTCACGCATGAGAAGGCCACCAGCAATCTTAGGTGAGAGGTGGCATCGAGTCATGGTCAGGGCCTGAACTCTGTCACCAGGCTCCCAGGGAGTAAATCTGGCTCTGCTACTGAAGACATGTATGACCCAGGGCTGGAGGCTAAATTTCCTTGTGTCACAGATTCCTCATCTTTAACATTACTTGTCGTGAGGATTCCATGAATGAATTTACATAAAGCCCCTGGAACAGCACCTGGAGATGGCAGATGGTGGAGGCAGGGGTGAAAATTTGGGCACCCCTTTCCTGACTTCAGATTGCCTACATTACCAGTCTTTAAGATCTAGAGCATTCTGTGCTCGGTGAGCAGTCTTGGTTCACAGAGGAGCAAAGACAGGAACAGAGCAGCACAGCCTCCGGCAGGGAGTTGGGTTGACCTAGATCTGGCTCCTTCTAGCTCCAGGTCATTAATTCTTTGAGGAGACGGTCTTCATTGTATCCGGGAGTCAGGCTTAAGCACAGGCCCTTTGGGTGAGAGCATCCGCTTCTTTTTGGTATTGCAGACCTCTCGTCATGTTTCCTTGAATCTTTTCTAATCGTATTCCTCGCCCTTCCCCTACATACTCTTTAGTTGCTTGAAAGCCAGAATTGAGCAGGATGTGGTCCATACCCATGTGAAAAAAGGAAGGTGGATGTTGAACAAATAATTACCAGGGTGTGGTGCATTATTAATGTGCCGAATGTTAGGACAGCACATAGCAGGGCTTCGCCACCTGACAGGGGCCAGAGAGGCCTCCAGGGTTAGCCAAGAAAAGCAGGGGTGGAGAGTGTTCCACACAGAAGAGCAGCATGTACAAAGGCCCAGTGCACACCAAGAACTGAGTGACCCTCACTCATGGTCTGAGTTCTGTAATATGGTCTCGGGATGCCCGTGTGCTTGTCTGGTGTTTGGTCACCGTATCCACCTCACCATTTGTGGGGTCCTCCTTTCTCTTGTTATCTGTGGCCCCTGCATTGAGCTTTTAGTCTAGAACAGGGCTGGTAAGTCTTTCTAGAAAGGAACACTTGGTAAATGCCTTAGAGCCTTTCAGGCTACACAGTCCCTGCTGCAACTCTGGAAGCCGCCATTGTAGTGTGGAAGCCACCATGGGCTCTCTGCAAACGAGTGAGTGTGGCTGTGTGTCAATAAAACTGTATTTACAAAGACAGGTGATGAGTTGGATTTGGCTCACGGGCCATAGTTTGCCAGCCTCTGGTCTGGAAGGGAAGACAGGCATTGACCAAATCATTGTAACCGGGTCGTGGTATTGCCTCATCATTTTTCTCCCACCGTGGTCGATGTGGAGATTCTATGGAGCTCAGAGCAGATGCTTGAGTTGCTCATAGTCCTCAGTTCATGAAGCATCTCTCACGGGTCCCTGCCAGGCTCCTCTTCTCATGATGTGCTTGCCCATCCTCGTTCCCATCCCCCTCTCTTCACAGAAGACTGTCTCAGTGCATCTGCTCTGCACCCCTGAAATCATATGCATATCTCTGAAGTATGTTGCTCTGTGTAATGTATTTTTTTAATGAACAAGAACAGCTTTATTGAGATGTAATTGACAGACAAACTACATATAATGAAAGTGTAAAATTTGATAAATTTTAACACATATATATCCTTGAAGCCATCAATACAACCAAAGGAGTGAATACACCCATCCTCGCCAAAAGTTTCTTGAGTGAGGCCCCTTTATAATTCTCCCTCCCCCATGTCTCTATCCTTTTTTTTTTTTTTTTTTTTTTTTTTGCTTAATATCATCTGGTCTTTTTTTTAAAATAGTTTATTGTCAAGTTTGTTTCTATATAACACCCAGTGGTCATCCCCACAAGTGCCCTCCTCCGTGCCCATCTCCCCCCTTCCCCCCACCCCATCTGCATAATGTATTTTTAAGTTATATAAATGACACTGGGCTATCCACTCTTTTGCTTCTTACTTCCTCTGCCTGTTCGGCAGTGCAATAATTTTATTTTTATTTTATTTTTTTAAGTGGGCTTCAGGTCTTGCGCAGAGCCCAGTGCAGGGCTTGAACTCAAAACCCTGACATCAAGACCTGAGCTGAGGTCAAGAGTCAGACGCTTAACCAACGAGCCACCCAGGCACCCCTTGGCACTGCAGTTTTAAAATCTAATGCTGTGCATACATCTAGTTCTTTGCTTCTAAATGCTGCAAAAACTTTCACGTTGTACATCACTAAACTCTCCTTATTCATTTGCTGGCTGATGATCACTATGTTTGGTGCTGGCTCTTTGTCCCCGCAAACACGGTCACATCTTCCCCGAGTGGAGGTGCCCACACCCATCTTTTCTCTTTGGCATACTCAGCTGTCATAGTTCTCGTCCCTTGGATGTCTGTCTCCCTGCTGGACTATGAGGTCTTGGGTCTGTTGTCAGATTCATATCTTTACCCCAGAGTCTGTCGAGATGCCTGGTACTTTGGAGAGCCAAGAGTGTGTGGTGAACGGATCAGTCCTTGAGGGGAGAGCTCTGGCAGGCACCTTTGGGCCTTCCCCACAGTCTCTCAGAGCCGCTGGTGTCTCTTGGTTAATCTTCAGCAGCAGACTGGTCACAGCCCTCACCCTAGTGGCACCTTTGTTCATGGGACCCTCCCCACCACCCCCACAAAGTGCTTTCCCATGACTGCTTCCTGTTTAGTGCCGTATTGACCATCTGAGGGGCTGATTTCCTTTCATGTTGTAAACTCAGGGAGCATAATGGTTACTTTGATATGTCAGCTGGGCTAGATGATGGTACCCAGTTGCTTGGTCAAACACCAGTCTAGATGGCACTGGGAAGATATTTCTTAGAAGAGATTAGAGTTGAAACCAACACACTGGGTACAGCAGATTAGCCGCCGTGATGTGGGTGGGCCTTATCCAGTCAGCTAAAGGCAATAATAAAAGAATGAGGTCCCCCGAAGAAGAGGGAAATCTGCATTAAGATGGCCTTGGGACTCTAGATGATAGTATCAACCTTTCCTTTGTCTTCAACTTTCTGGCTGGCCCTATAGATTTTGGATTTGTCAGCACCCACGATCACCTATGATCACGTGGCGATCCACTTTTCAGTGAACCAATTCCTTAAATTCTCTCTCTTTCTCCCCTTTATATGTCCATTGCTCCGGAGAATGCTACTAACATGGGGAGGGCCAGGATAAATCTATTCTAGAGCAAGTTCTTTTTCATGACATTTAAAGCCTTAAAGGCATTCCAGGAGAATCTAGCTGTGACAGCATCTAAGAGTCCTCGCAGCAGACTGCCACCACACACAAGCTCAGGTACCAGATGAGGATCCTGAAGTTTGGGTTGAACCAGTGAAATGCAACAAAGACCCACATTAGTTCTCTCCTATGTCTGGCTGTAGATTGTGCCAACCATCTAGTTGATCTGGGGGCCGATTCTCATCTAAGCCTTGATCGTTATTTTTTTTTAATATTTTTATTTTATTTCTAAGAGAGAGAGAAAGACAGCGTGAGCAGGGGAGGGTCAGAGAGAGAGGGAGACACAGACTCTGAAACAGGCTCCAGGCTCTGAGCTGGCAGTCAGCACAGAGCCCGACGTGGGCCTCGAACCCACAAACCGCGAGATCATGACCTAAGCGAAAGTCGGACGCTTAACCGACTAAGCCACCCAGGCGCCCCGCCTTGATCGTTATTAACTGCTCATCAAACCGAACTTAGCCGTGACGCGAGAACCACAAGACCAAGCCTCAGAAGGCTTTGGTGCACAGCCCTCAGAGCAGAGAGCACCAGAAGATGGTTTGAAGGGAAGATCGACTAGGCGATCCCTTGTATTTTCTACCGATGTTATGGAACATCGGTTACTGTGGCGCAGGCACTTGGTTATTTTCACAACACTGCAAGGGTGGCCTTATCAGCTCCATTTTATAGATGGAGAATGGAGCTTGGACAAGCTGAGTCTCTGTCAGGAGTGCTGAGGTGGTCAGTATAGTCAGTAGTGGATCTGGATTCAAGGTCAAGTTTGTCTTGCGAAACCAAAGCCTGTGCTCTTCCCATTGTTTCACTCACTCAGTCTTTCACTCATCGAAATCCTGAGTATATTCTCAGTGTGAGGGGATCTAGAGTTAGCTGTTTTCTTCCTCTTAAAAGGCTCACAGACACAGAGACATCTGGATGGGGAAACAGTCCTGCCTTGGACGTGTATGCAATGCAAGCACGGAAGAATCAAAAAAACTGTTCTCCCCTCGGAGTGTGGGGGGTCAGGGATTTATAATTTATTATTATTTTTTAAAAATTTTATTGTATTTTTTAAGTAGATTCCACACCCAATGTGGGGCTTGAAACTCACAATCCCAAGATCAAGAGTTGCACACACCAGGTGCCCCGGGTGTTCAGTGATTTGAATGGGACAGTGTGTGGCAGGGCCCCTAAGCGCTGGGCACTTGAAGGAGGTCGTGGTGGCACTGGGGGAGGAGGAGTTGGCCAGAAGGATCCCAGAGGAAACAGATGTAGCAGGAGAGCATGTCCAAAGGCCGGTGGGTAGGGGTGCAGACCCTGTGTATATGGCTGAGGCCATTGACAATGTGAAGAAGGGAGGGACATGATGCCAGAGACGCAGGCAAGACCTTGGAAGGTGGCGCCGAGCTGTCGGACTTGGGACCACCCGGGGCTTTTGTTCAGGGCCAAGGCTGGGGCGATGAGAGAGAGGAACTCATCAGGGTCCGAAATCTAAGGAGGCCTGAACAACGCAGACACCGAGATACAGAACGTTAGAAATCAGTGCAGGCATATCCGTGATGAACAACAGAGCAAACTTATAAAGAAAGAACCTGACCTTGCACTTGCATGATCTACCGTCGCCCGGCCCCTAATCCTGGCTCTACTTCTGTTAAAAATCCAGGTTCCCGGTTCCAGCTTGGACCTAATGTCTCAGGTTTTGCAGGAGGAGCCTTATTATTTCCCAATTTCCTGGCGTGGCTTTTATGGTGTGTTTCTTCTTTTTAAACTTGTCCACAGCCAGTAACCATCTGTGGGTGCTTGGTGAAAATACAGCTTCTCACCTCGCTCCTGGACGTTCTGCATCCACACAGGCGGCACAGGGACCTATAGCAAGGGCCCCAGGAGCTTCGCACCACCCAGGTATGAGGGCAAATAGCAGTGGTGGCAAGGAGTGCTTTATGCCAAAGGGTCCCAGCTTTGGGGAAGCCACTCTGACAGGTCCAGGTAATAGGCGCTGTTTTGGATGAGGTTTCCTGCTTTTCAGTGTCCAGATGGTAAAATATCCTGAGTGTTCACCACTGCACATACATTACCTCCCTGCAGTAGCTACTCCGGAAGGCTCTGGAAGAAAACCCCAACTCTTGGCCAGACAGCCAAGGCCCTGCACACCTGGTCCCTCCCTCCACCTCCAAGCTCTTTGCAGTTGGGGCGGCTGGTCTGTGAGCCTCCACTGAGCAGCCTGGCTGCTGTCTCCTGGGTGACTTGTCTCCCTCGGAGCTTCCCCTGGGCAGATCCCTCTGCCGAGTGCCTTTCCTGGTTCCCTCTACCCTCCTCTCCTTGCTGCTCCATCCTTGAGGCTTAGAGGAGACCCTTCCTCTCCCAGGAAGCGTCCACACCCTTGAAACGCTCCAGCTAAGCTTCTCCATCCTCTGACGTCAGGTCCGTACCGCTCCCTCTGACCATCGCTGCTCTGCCTGTGCCTTTATCAGAGCCTAGAAGCCTCCTCCTTCCTTCTGGAACCCAGCAGTGTCCCTTCCGAAGCAGCGAAATGCTCCGGAAAGTTCCTGGGCTTCGGTCTGCAGCCTTGGCCTCAGCACTCAGCTTTACCTCGTCTGAGCACAGGTCACTGGAAAAGTCTGCTGCCCCTTGGTTTCTTGGGACATAATGCAGTTCCCTCGACGAGGAGAGGGTGTGAAGGTCAGAGGAGACCATGTAAAACGCAAGGCAGGAGGCATCACACTAATGAGAACAGGGAGGCCTCTCCTCTGGCTGCCCGTGAACCAGTCTCCAGTGGGCTGCAAGCCACAGGCAGACTGGTGCGGACCCGTCTCCCCAGCCAGCACCTCCTGCTTCTACAGCATTGGCCATGGAGGTGACACTAGCTGTCTACTCCTTCCACGAGGAGGGCAAGCCTCGGGTAGAGGTGTTTTGAAGAAGTTTATTTATCCCTTACTTTATTCTAAAATACGAAATTTTACAAGGATTGAAGGTGAGGTGAAGAAAGTTTGTATTAAATTGCTTTTAATGTTTATTTATTTTTGAGAGAGAGAAACCAAGTGTGAGCAGGGGATGGGCAGAGAGAGGGAGACACAGAATCCAAAGGAGGCTGCAGGCTCTGAGCTGTTAGCACACAGCCCGACGCGGAGCTCGAACCCACGAACTGCGAGATCATGACCTGACTCGAAGTCAGACGCTCAACAAACTGAGCCACCCAGGTGCCCTGGAGAAAATTTCTTTTAAATTCTCTTCAATTTTTAGCCTTTAAGGAGAAACATGCCTTTACAGAAGGCACGGGGGTGGGGTGTTTCCCAATCACTGTGCAATCTTCCATGGAGAGGAGGGCCTCTCTCGAGGAGCACTCTTTAAAGAGGAGCAAATGCTGTCGGAGCCACACAGCTTGCAACAGGGGTGTGGGAGGTGCCAGGGGGCCCAGGCTGGAATGGGGGACCCGGCTCCCAGATACCCCGCCTCTCCAGTACGTTCCAGTGCCGGATGTTGGCGTGAGCTGAACAGATTTGGCTGAGGTTTCATCTGGGCAAAGACAGAGTCAGGAGGGGCTTGTTTCTTTGTGTTTTGACCCTGCTGATGAGCATGGATGGAAAACTCAATTATCAGTGAGGTTAGGGGCAGGGCGGGAGGTCAGGGCCTAACGGCCCGCTCTTCCTCTGGGCGCTGAGAGACTTGATCTCCTCTCTGCTGCTCCAGGAGGAGGGTGCATTGATCAGAGTCAAAGGTCATGTGTCATCAAAGGCGGTCCAGGAATAAAGGGAGCTCTTCCCAAGGATTCTAGAATGGCCCCCGAAAACCCAAAGCGATTCACTCCTCTCGTAAGCTCAGATGTGCCTTAAACTCAAAAAGTCTAGAAGTCTTGTTGCAAACTTTGCAAGAAAACATTGCTTTATGTGAGCGTAGCTTTCAAAGATTTAGGATTTGAAGGGGGAGGGGTTGGAAGCATTCTCTTTCTGTCCTCCTCAGCCAAGAATTCAGAACCCTCTGGGGGAGAGACTACACATGTCTTCCTCTTTTTTTTTTTTTTTTTAGGAAAAACAATTCATTAAAAAGTTCTTTGTATGCATCTGGACACCTCAAAGATAGGACCCTGGCCACCCTTGTTTCACACTTATCTTTTCCCATGGGAATATTTCCTTCCTAGACAGGGAAAGCCACACACACATACACACACACGGAGTAATTTGAAAGTTGAAAGTTAAATTTAAACCATCACATGGCCAGTGGATTGTGTAGAATAACCATAAAGACAGAGGGGTAAAAAAAAGTCTACCAAAAGACAGACAAATAGAAGGACATGCGGAGAGGCAAGGAGAAAGAAAGTTCATGCCTGTAACCAAAAGAGTGCCATATCGGCGGCCGTGGCCCTGGTCACTTATCATCAGGTGACGTAAAATATGACAAATACCCACAAAGGCAAGATTCTAAAGCGCAGGAGAGAAAAGAGCTTCCCAACAGATGCACCTATATATTTTCCTTAATAATTCCTTGTTCTTTGCAGTGCAGTGTGGAAAAGGAACAAAGGGCCCGGCGGCTCATCTAACTTTCCAGTTGTCAAAGCAAATTGGATGCAGAGAGGACGGAGTTGATGACACATGAGAACAGGTTTGCACTTCAAGAGCAGGTCCAAGCCTGAGCTGGGAATTGGGGCCGACTGAGTTAGAGGCATCCTCAAACCAGCCATGGGGACCCCCCTGCATAAATTCTGTTGTATATACATAATTCTATTGTATATGGCTAAACACATCGATGCTCGCCCATGCAGGTATGTATGCAAGTGTATCCAGGTGTTACCAGGAATCTAACTATGTGTAAGAGGTCTAGATGACCTGCCTGAGAAAGTTGGTGGGTGTCCCACGAATGGGCCCTAGAGCTCATTTCTAGGTTACAGGAAGTGAACACAAGGATCATGTGTGTAAGGCACTGTGTTCATGGTCCTCTCTACATGTTATTGAATGAATGTAGGTTAATGCTAACAACACAGATTCAGATGCCAGCTTGCCGGGGAAGCCCTTCCCACCGGCCCAGTCTCAGAGAACTTTCTCTCCACCACCCCTCTGCTAAGGCTCCGTCTAGGGCTGCCTGATGCCAGTCCCTCGGCTGTAGGTCTGGCCAGTTCTTGATAAACCCGTGCTCACGTCATCTGCCCATTGAGTTTGGAAGCTCCTGGGAAGGGACCACTGTGTTGACATGGGGCCATGCTGGGCTATGTCAAGTCCCCTATGAAGCCCTGTGGGCTAATTAGAATAGTGGCCCCACCTGGAAAGCAATAATTCTGAATCAAACCCACTTCCTAGGTCCCTGTTTACCTCTAAGTAGGATAAAAATGTCACTGGAATCATGTTGTTTAGTCATGGAAGGGCTAACCTAGCACTACCGCTCATTCAGCACATTGTCCAGTCTAACTGGCTTTTTGTTTGTTTGGTTGGTTTGGTTTGGTTTCTTCCACAGCAAGACTTTCTCAATGAAGGGGACAGGGCATTGATTTACATTCTAGAGCAAGCTCTTTATCTTGTGCTAGCCTGGTGGCTATACTTCAAGGTGCCCTGACCAAGGGCTCCGTCTTCATTTTCCAGATGTGGACTTAGAGGTTGAGAGAGAAGAAGTAACCTGTCCAAGACTTCACAGCAAGAGCTAGAGCGGCAGTTGGTAGCCAGGTCTCCGGACACAAGGTCTACAACAATAACAAAACAGTAGTGTGGTAATGCCTGCAACTCTCACACGTGATCACACGGCATCCGTGGTGTGATGTGAGACCTGCACGCGGCAGGATTCGGTCTCCGCACATGAGGAAACAGAAGCTTAGGGACGACAAAGACTTGGCCGAAGGCAGAGAGGAGGATGCTGGCAAAGGACGGGATTCTGGGCTGTTCCCGCCTCCAGCTCAGCTCTTGACCCAGCGCACCCAGCTTCAGATGAGAGAACGTGGCCCTTAGTCCCCCAGAAATGGCCAAGAAGTGTGGGCACGGGCCGAATTTCCAGGCCTGCTTAAGAATACTGTAGGATGAAAATGCAAAGGCTATGTTCTGGAAAAGTCTCATCAATGGAAAGGCTCTAAGTTCTTGGCGGCCCCGTCTGTGACAGGGCTTAATCTCTGTGAGGCCCTGCACCCGTGTCTTGTATGAGGAAGCCTACTAGTTGTCTGGAAGCATCTTGGGAACAGTAAAGATACATGCGTACCTCAGAACAATTAATCTCCGCACGTACTGGTGGCAAGCACGGTCTCTGACACGAAGTGCTCTGCAAACTGTGGCCCTCGAGCAAACGGTAGGTGTTTTTCTTATTTCTGAGCCTAAAACAACCAGCTGTTTGACATTTTCCAATTAAAAGCATGGGTCTGGGATACTTGCCCGTTAAAAATGTACCACCGCTCATAAAATCTCAGCTTTTTTCATTTTCGTTTTTTAAGAACACAAATTAGGCCAATTAAATAGTTTAAATGACTTTTTTTTTTCTTCTTTTAAGCAAAGGAAGCCATACACAGGAACCAATAGTTCCCTCAGAAAGATTTGCCTTTTCCCCCGGAGCAGACGCCCACAGAAGGGACAGCCACACATAAATCCGTTTGCAGTTTTTACAACCGAGGGTCGGCCAAACTTTCACGGGCCTCACATAAACGTCTCCTTGCACGTGGTGAACCTGGGAACCCTTTATTTCGACTCCAGCTTCCCGTCTGGATATTAGTGCCCAGTGGGCCGGGGATGGGGTGAGAAGCCTCGGGGTCTCCTTGGTGCCCACGGCTGCCTAATGAGGCCTTGTTCGTTGTATTGAAGTGAGCTCACCTGGCCAGTATGCCGATATTTCCTTTCCTCTTTTCCCAGGAGAATCGAGGACTTCTGTGGCATGAAGTCTGGGCATTCCAGAAGGACACTAACGCGAGTGTAGAGAAGAATGGGGGCTAATCTCTGTTTTCTAGATGTTTTCTGACTGACTTAAGTGCCCGGCAAATATAACTGCTCTAAGAGCATGCCTTTGATGTGCGACTGGGGCTGCTGACGAAAGCTGAGAATTCGTGGTGGAAAATCCCGATTCTAATTTGAACACTGCTTTGCAAACTCAACTCCCAAGTTTTCACAAAGATTTCATGGTCCAGTGCCTCTGGGATAAAGTTGAAACTCCTGGGCCAGTCCTGGGTGGAGCCGGAGGACGGCGAGGGCCATGCAAGTGGCTGGAACTTGGTCCAAACTTGACTAGTTACTTTCCAGTTGAGCCTCATTTGCTCCTTTCTGAGATGGGGTTAATGGCAACATCTAAACCTTTAAGGTTTTTGTGAGGATTGAAGAAGGTCATGAAAATAAAATGTCGGGCCTCCCCAAACACTGAGGTCCTCACTCTCTCTTCCCCCTTCTTACGCCTTGCCTCCAGACTTGTTAGGTCATACTCAGAGGCAGGCCCCGGTGTAGACATGGATTCGTGAATTCCACAAGGTTCCATTCTTCAAGAAGCTCATACCTGCTGGAACGCACAGCCAATGAGATCGGTAATGACGTGGCACCGGGTGTGTCAGAGAGAGAAGGTCTCGTCCAGACAGTCTCCACTGTCCCTCTGGGTCTGGGCCACACCTTCCCCAGCTTTTGTGATACAGCTGTCTTCAGGGCCGTTGCTACTCTGCTCACGAGTGCCCTTCCGCATCTGGGGGAGAAGGTGTGCACGACAGAAGACAGAGTGCCCAGCAAGGGCTCATGGCCTCCACGGAGAACTCCGGGGGCCTCAGGCCACCGCTGGTCTGCTCCTGAGCCACCCTCCGTGAAGGAAGCGCCAAAGCGGGGAGATCATGGCTGCTGTCCAGAGACGGGGACAAGGAGCATTGTGGGTGACCATCTCCAGCTCCTGCCCAGGAAAGACAGGCCTGCAGGAGAGTTATTACCATACGTGGGTCACTTTACAGTCAAGTTGTCAGGAGGGAAGATAAACTGAGTTTGTTTGGAGGAAGAACGTGTGAATAGGGTAGGGCCATCTGAAGACCCCGCCTCTCCTTTGGTCCTCAGAAGGCCCCAGGGGTGGCTACTTGGGTGTTGGGAAGGCAGGTTCCTCTGCGGTGGGGCCCGTAGCCAGGAAGCAAAGGCCCTCCGTCCACCCAACTCACGGGGCCTTGGAAGACAGCAGTGGGAGTCCAGAAGGCCCCGTCCAGTGGATGTAGCTTGTCAAGCGCCCCCTGACCCCCATCTCTCTCCTGAGCACAAAAGCCTGTTGTCTGGGGAGCTCAGAGTGTGGGCTCAGACCATCCTCTCTTCTCCGTGTCATTAATGTAATCTATTTGATCTTGAGGGTGGTTTTGTTTCAGTCTCTCAAGGGAGTGGGGGGTGGGGAAGGAGGCATGTCTTCTGACTTTGAAGACTAGAAGCACTTAAATGTGAGAATTAAGCCCAAGAGGAAACGTACCTTGGGTCCTCTTTTCCTGGTCAGGAAAAAGCTAATACTTAACATCTCTTGGACAGCCCCGCCTTCTTTGGAATGAAAGTGTTTTTCTTATCATTATTGCTCACAATACTACAGTTGTTTACATTCATTGATGCACATCTTGCCTCTCTTTCGAGAGGGTTTTGACATACCAGTAAAGTAGGTTTACGCTGACTAAATGAAGGAATCATGGCTGGGAGAAAAGAAAGATAGAAGAGATAAGACAGTAACCCAGAGAAAAGGTAAGAAGACAAAATTTCTCCTCTAGAGGTCTGGGCCTCGCTGGATGTGGGCCAGGACTCAGTTCTGAGCTTCCTGGTAACCATGATAATGAGGGAAACACTCATATACATGGTGTGAGACATCCACGAGAAACACTGCTGTCCCAAAAGCAGGCTCTTTATGACATAGTAAAAAATAATATCACTAAAATTCTCTAAAAGTTCTAGACATTGGGAGATAGGGCCCTTTGGGAAGTTCATAAATATCTTTAGGGCAGCATGTCCTAAATTGTTCTGTGAAACACTGATTCTGGGGCACATTGAGGGGTGTTCCTCAAAAATCAGACGCAGTGGCCAGGTGAACATCGTTAACATTCCCATTTCCCTCTTGGAGATTTGCACTGTCTCCGTTCTCCGAGGACTTGAAGCATCTGTGGAAAAGAAATGTGGTAAATTTCGTTCAAATCCTTGCTTCCCAGAGTTTTTCGGTGACATTACCAGAATTTGGAGGAAGCTCTGGGTTTCCTTGAACCCTTTATGGGAACTGGGGTACTTTCTCTGCAGAAGCATTTTTTCCACAAAGGAAGCCAGGCTCTGTCTCTTTAGGAGAGTTACAGCGCATGTAAGATTCCTTCCTTGGCCTCCCCCCTCTTCTGCCCCGCCCTGGGCAGGGGGCGACCCGGCTCCCTTAGCAAGAGCGTCACAGGGTCAATCAGGGTCTGATCCCAGCTCCTGCCTGCGCCTGGGGGCCCTTGCAGGGCCTTCAGGGTTAAATGTCCACGTGACGAACACCACGTTCATGGCCAGTATCTACCCGTCTTGTTGCATTATTCTCTGCTGACAAGCTTCAGTCTGCGTTTTACCCAAGACTCCCCGGGACGCCCGGGGCGTGGTGGGGGGAAGCGGGCCAGAAGGCAGGAGAAGGCTGTCTTGCCACATCAATACAGCAAGATTAATAAGCGATACATATCTGTGGGATCTGAACATGGGCAGGAGACCTGCAGCTCCAGGTCGGCTTCTTGGAGGAAGTGACACTTTAACAGAGATTTGAAAGATTGGCAGGAGTTATACAAAGGAGGAGGTATGGGATCCCATTTGGGACCTGGCTGGAGCAAATGGTCAGAATTGGCTTTGGATAGAACAAATGGTTGGGATGAGGCTGGTGACGGGCTGGAGGCGGGGGGCCTGGCTGATGAGTTGGGGCTTCCTTGTCTAGGGATCCGAGGGGAGGCGTAGAAGGACCCCTGGGCAGGATGGCAGCGTCGTTCTGTTAGAAAGAACCTCTTAGTGATGGCGGACTGTGACGCAGAAGGACACATACGGACTGGGCAGCTGGGGCCAGGGTCCCGGGCCACCCGCCCGCCTGGGGCGGTGGCCGTAGGAGATGGGCCGGTCTCCGGCCTTCACCCGTGGTTCCAGGGGAGGACGTGAGTTCTCCGTTCTCCCTGGAGGACTGGCTCTCTCCCTGGCTGGACGTCAGAACAAATTAAGGGCACTTGTCTCACAAGCCCCACCTGGCCGGCAGCATGGTCGGGCCAGGCTGGCAGGGGAAATGTGGCCCGAGACTATGGGGGCCGGAGACCTGTGTCAATGTCATGGTCCGAGGTTTTTTGTGCTCACTGACGTGGAAGACAGAAGCCTCACGCCCTACCAGAGCCCCGGCTGGCATACGTAGGCAGCCAGGGGCTGCGTGGGCAGGGACTGGCCACCACATCTTGGATTTCCAGTTTGCAGAGTGTGCTTACAGGATTGTCTCCTTTGATTTCTGTCTTAGTCGGTTCTGGCTGCTATAATAAAACCACCATAGACTGCGGGGGTGTCTTTTTCCGGTCCCTCTAACACCATGGCTTCAGAGTAGCCCACTGCTCACATAGCAGCCCAGAGCTCCGAAGGGCTGTGTCCCAGGAGACAGTCAGGCAAAAACTGTTATCTCTTGTGACCTAGCCTCAGAAGTCCCTCGGATTCCACCAGATTGCATTGCTGGGGGCAGTTTCAATGTTCACCCAGGTTTGAGTGAACCCCACCTCTCAATGGAGGAATGTGACCATCCCAGGGCAGGGAGAGTATCTGGGAAGGAGACACACCGATGTGGCCATCATTGGGGAATATCACTTCTCACAATCAAATCTCAGTCTTAACTATTAAGGTGGTCAAAAAAGCTACAATTATTTCATTAAAAAATTTTTTTAAAGGTTATTTATTTTGAGAGACAGAGAGAAGAGGAAAGAGCAGAGAGAGAGAGAGAGAGAGAGAGAGAGAGAGAGAATCCCAGGCAGGCTCTGTGCTTGCAGCGCAGAGCCCAAGGTGGGGCTCAAGCTCACAAACCATGAGATCATGACCTGAATCGAAATCGAGAGTCAGACGCTAAACTGACTGAGCCACCCAAGCTACAATTATTTCAACTGTGGAGTCCTTTCTTGTGACACTAAAGAAAAAAGAAAACATCTTGGCTAAGTGACACACACCTGTGATACACTGTAATGTACATGCTTGTCGGGTCTCAGAAGTCTTAGCATAAGCCATTTTGTTTGCTGCTCACAATTTCCTGGTGGGGATCATCACCCCCCATTTTATGGCCATGGAAACTGAAGTCTAGAAGGGACTAAAGAATTTCTGCTGTGTCAGCACCTCATGGAGTGGGAAGCAGATCTAAATATTCTGCTTCAATCCCACAGGTCTGTCTTCTACACCAGGTAACGCCACTTGCTGCGATTAAAACCCACCAGGGGTCACATTCCACTCCCAGAAAATTGTTAACACTGACCCAGAAGGTAAGACTTCCTTTTTAATGTTTTAACTTTGGCGTGGCCTTCAGCCTTTAACTCTAGAATGGTGTGTGCTGAGTAAATATTCACCCAGTGCTAGATGACCGGGGTTTTATTAGCTGAAGGAATGCTCAGCAGAAGGAGGTTGGAAAAAGGGTGGATGGGCTGGCCCGGCATTTGAAAATGGCACCCAGTTCTTGAGTGAGCAAATATCTGAAAGCCTCTGCCACTGTCTGGGCAGTCTAGGTGAGTGCCTACCTCTTGGTGAAAGTAACAGTACTGAGCAGATGATGACTTGGTCTCTTGAAAGATCTCTGGAGGCCCTGGCTCTCTGAGATCCCACCCAACGTCCTGTCATATGTGATATGACTCCTTCATTCCATATATGTATTGTGGGGCTTTCATTACTTTTGCTATAAAAAAGTTCAAAAGAACTCTGCAATTTTGGTTTTGAAATTATTTAGCTATGGGTAACTTAATTAATTTACCGTAGCCTTTTCTTTTCTCAATCTATTCGAAAATTCATGCCATGTGCAAAAATATAACCTCCACACTGTTTTCTAAGGCAATGAAATGTTCACAAGTGATAGATTTAATAATCAATGAAGTGACATAGGACATCATGTTACATTTTTAAGGCAATTGACTAAACATTTATCTACTCTGATTTTGCTGGTTTTGTTTTGTGTTTCAGAACTAATTTTTTTTTTCAGCTCTCAAAATGTGTTGTGGGACCCTAAAAAGGTCACAAGCCAGATCCTGTAGCCACGGAGCCTGACTGATGAGATGATTCTGATCGCGCAGAGGCCAGTGCCTTCTCAATGAAGAGGATCCCCAGCATGGTTGTGTCCTCAAAGCTGAAGCCACCAAGAGAAATCATTCCTCATTACAAACTGTCCTTTGGGTCGAGGGTGCAAACATGTCCTTCTCTAAATGCTGTTCCTGGCAGGAAACTTTGCCACTTGGTCAATGGACTGAACCCGGGAAGATGACCGAATGATCTGGGAGGCTCTGAATTCTCCATCGTTAATTCACATGGTCCAATTCTGCTCATCAATTCAGGTAGGTCCAAAATACCAGTAGGCCAGAGAGTGTGATGATGGAAAAGCTCTTACAGAGAAGAAGATGGGCCAGGGAAATGGGCATCCTTAGGTCCAGTCATGGGAGGAATTTGGGGTAGAGAAGGCTACTCACGTCATTAAAAAGCCCACGCTATGGCAGAGGCTCTGTCGAATTTCATCCGGCAAATCCAACATCTTTTCAAGGGGAGCATTAACTCCATTTCATGGACTGGATGACTCGGGCTCAAACAGCCAATATTTGCCCAAAGTGATCCAGTGACAGAACCCCAGTCTTGTCTTATTCCAACCTCTGCTCTGTCTTCCTGCCATTGTGATGGAGAGCCTTGCTTACGATTTTTTGGAGGAAATTAGCAGCATGTTCTGAGGTTTGTGCTTGGAATACCAGCAGGCTTAAGAGGATTGCAAGAGCAATGTCTTTTAGGATTTTCCATTTGCAGAAGGCACAATCCTACAACAAACAGTCAGGACGAAAGAACTGGAGAGAAGTAAATTAAGGGCTTACAAACACGCGATCAAGCCTTTGTCTAGAGTAGTGGAGCCAAGAACCCAGCTGACTAACAAATGCCCATGGAACACCTACTTTGTGCAGAAGGCCCTGAGGGATGATAACCTCTCAGGCTTGGGTCCTCCGAGGCAGACAGACACGGAAGTAGATAGGGAGAGCTCTGGCCGATGAGTCAGAAGATCAGAATTTGCAAACTTCTCTTCCACTCCCTGGCTGTGTGGCCTTAGACATGTGAATGTGCCTCTCTGAGCCTCAGTTAATGTTTTGTAAGATGGAGGTGCTAATTCTCGCTCAAGCACCTCTCAGGTCTGTCATTCCTGTGGATGCATCCCTGATAAACTCCGGCGTGTGGTAAACTACTCTCCTCTTTATGACTGTCCCTTGGGCGGACCCACTCTGTGGGCAAGAGGTATGTTGTTTCTCTTTCCTCGGCACAGGCATTTGGTGGATCCGAGATGAATGAAGCTGTAAATCTCTTATATCTTAGCTAAAATAACCTCTTTGAATGCACATGGACCTTAACGGGACCTTAATCTTCCTGCCCTGTTGATACTTTAAATAATAAAGACCTTTTTTTTTTTTTTCCCAAATATCCAAACTCCGTGCACTGACCAGGAGTCTGTCGATCCACAAGACGCTTCATGGAAATCAATTTTGTTTGCAAAACAACTTTATGGTGTTTTCTATAAAAGCCAAATGAATCCTACAGCCATCAACCTGGGGAGGACGTTTCTCCTTTTCTGCAGCTCAATTTTCACAACGGATATTCTCATTTGATCCACACCACCAATTAGGCGAGGGTCCTTTGTAACTCCCAGACTCGAAATATCCGGGACCGTCAGATTCAGAAGGGCCCTCGGAGTCACATAGCCTTGTTCCCGGGTCGTAGAGGAGAAGGTCTGCTGCGGAGTGGGAAGGGACTTGTTCAAGGTCAGAGGACAGAGCTAGTCTTGCAAAGGGGTTGAGTGTCTTTCCCTTAACTCAGTGGAAATGGCTACTGACCAGGACATCTCTGGACGAAGCCAGCGGGCCTCTCTGCCTATCCTGCGTCACCAAACGGAGCCATGAAGCAGCTTCCTCATCTGATGGGTTCCCAGCTCTGTCAAGACTTTTGCCACATGCTCTCTGATGCGGCCCTCTGCTCAGACCTTGCAGACAGGGACACACGCTGTGGACATTCTCACGGTCCAGCTCGTGGCCAGAACATCAGGGGGCTGGTGTGGCGCCGGTGTTCTCTGCGGGATGGGCGGAGTGGACTCTCCTTCTCCCCGGACATGGACTCCCGGGGCCGTGGGAGAGGCGGGAGAGGACTGGTGTCCTGGAGGTCAGGCCTGGCATCGGTGGCGGATTGGTGGCCACAGGAGCAGTCCCGAATGGCCTGTGCGGTACCTTGATCTGGAACCTGCCGGGGGTTATTGGCTGCAATCACAGATTAGTCAGATTCCCAGCTGGCGCCTCTGAGCAGGGAGCTGCGGTGAAGAGGCCTGCGACTTCCTTCCTCCTCCGAAACAGGCCTGGAGAGGGAGGCCCTTGCGCTGTAATTATATGTCGGCAGGAAACAAATAGCTAAGACCTGTCTCTGAGTGAGGAAGGAAGGAAGACATCCAGGGCTCTGGGGATTCTTTATCTTCTGTTCTTGAGGCACTGGAATAATAAGAACTACTATCTACCTTTCAATCTTTGCCAACCCTGGCGAAGTGGGTATTATTAGCCTTAGTCCGAAGATAAAGGATAGCGAGTTACCCACGGCTGCGGCGCTACTAGGTCGTGTCGCAGAGCTGGGACTGAATGACACTTCTGCCTGACTGCAGTCCCTGCTGGTCCCTCTGCCTCAGCTGTATGTGGTCTGGGCACTTCTTATGGCTCAGGATGGCCTCCTTACATTGCACAGAACGCCTGACCAAGGAGGCTGAAGTCTAGTACACGCTTTCGTCCATACCTCATGTGCTCGGACTCGCTTCTGCCCCTGACCAGAGGGAAGGGTACCGCCTCCTGTGCACAGACTCTCTCTGCTCAGAAGCCTGTCCCCACGGGGACACAGCCGCCCGCCAGAGACACCATTTTGGTACCATGCAAAGGTACAGTGATGGCCTAACGTTAGCTGTGGTCATTGTAACTTCTCTGGGCCTCAGTCTTTTCTCTTGAGAAAGTGAGGATCTTCTTCCAACCATCCGCTGCGAGCCCCGGACCATCCACGCACAGGGTAAGGGTTAGGGTTGCGCGATGCCCTCTCTGTGTATTTATAACCTGCCAGGTGGTGAGGCGATGCATCCCTTACATTTTTATGTGCATGGTGTTTCCTCCTGGCCGTTCCAGTTCCTGGGGTGGGTTTCAGTAAATGCAGGCTGTCCCTGCTGGACCGTGTGGGTACGAAGTAGATGACCCTGGCCCTCACCGTGGGGCTTCCTGTGACCACCAGATGGGAGAACGCTGTGTGTGCCGGGGGTGTGGAAGGTGTCTCTGGTTTAGACACAGCCCAGGGGGCAGAGATGAACAGCCAGCACCTCTTTGCCCTCTGTCAGGAGAGTGACGGAGCCCCGCATCCCCCCTCAAGTCACCTGCACTGTAGGTGCCCCCGGAATGTCCCCTGAATGCACCAGGCCCTTTTGCAAATGTATTCACATCCCTCTCCATTCCCGCAGATTTCTATTCTTCGTCAGGGTGCACCCTCTCTCCTCCAGCAACACCCCTGGGCTGCAGCAGGTTGGCCGAGCTTCCCCCACCACGCCCGGCATTGAACCCCACAGCATCTACCCCAGGGCCTTGGGCATTGTAGGTGCTCTAGTTCTGTTTCTTGAAGGCTTGCCTCAGTGACCGCCCTGAGCGGTTCTGACCTGGCTCTGCCACCCCAGGGCTTTGTGACCTTGACTTGCTCCCCCTCCAGCGCAGGGCCTAGGCTCGCAGGGCCTGGGCCCGGGGCCATCTCCCCTTCTCCGCAGGCGGAGGCCCATTAAGCTGCCATCTTCTCTCACCTCATTATCGCCTTGGCCCGGGGAAGCCTCCGGGGCTGCAGTGAGCCCGGGAGCTCAGAGGCTTCCCCTTGGCCCTCCCACTGGAAGACAGAAAGCCAGCACCAGAGGGAGTGTCCTCTCTGCGGTTTCAGAAAGGCCTTCTTTCCTCGAGCTCATTAAACACACCCCAGGGAGAAGCGGGAGCTGGGGCCGGGGGCCCAGGCGCCTTCGCCTTTGGCTGCCCAGAGCCCTTTATCTCCGGGGCAGATAAGCACCCAGCCCGGGCTCTGTGCTGAGGGCAGGGGAGTCCGGGCCATAAAGCAGGGCGGGGCCGACGGTTTAGGACGGGGGTTCCTGGGGAGCAGAGCTTTGAACTCTGCCCTCTGAGGAGCGGAGGCCTTTATGGCAGGAACGAGGCCCCTGGCGGGCCCCTGGGCACCCTGACTGCAGGGTGAGACAACAGAACCCCCCGAGGGGGGACCGGCTGCCGGAAACGGGCTCCGGGGCTTTACTGACTTGTAAACGACACCATTAAGAGGAAGCCCTCACCTTGGCTGGAAACAGCTGTGTGAGTGGTTGTAAATCTGGCCTGGAGCCCGCATTCCTTGGGCGGGGGTAGGGGCGGGGTGGGGGTGGGGGTCTGCAGTGGTGACCGTGCAGGGGAAGGGGAAGGGGGCTTGTTAGGGGGCCTAAAGGCAGATTCCCACAAAAGGGGAGAAAAGCATTCCCAGGAACATAGGAGTCATCGATGCGATGTCAGCCCAGAGAAACGGACACGGCGAAGCCCAGGGCCACAGAAAAACGTGTGTGCCTGGTAAGGGGAGGGACCGAGGGTCAAGCCCACCTCGGCTTCTGCAGACAAGTCCACGAACAGCCCAGGTCTCACATAAAAAAGAAACATAATAATACCCTTCAAAGGGTCTAATAATTCAGTGAGGTGATGGAACACCTTGCTCATGGAGAGGCTTGAGAAACGAATTTTCTTTCCTTTCCGGTTGATAAGAAAACAATATGGAAATTTGGGATTTTGGCTAGCTCTTTTGGGGGACGGGGGATCTTGGTGTCCCCCCCCCCCCCCCCCTTAGATAACTTTGCAAAACAAAAGACAAGGCTGCTAGCTGCCCAAGGGCACAGAAGGTCCCGCCTTATTCAGTTTTGTTTGCTTAGTTGCTAATAAGAAACTTGGTAAGGAATACTGAGCGTGTGTTTCATAAATGTTTGATTAATAAATAAGAGCGGGAAGGGGGGTGAAGGTAGGAAAGAAGAGAGGAGAGAAAGAAGGAAGGAAGGAAGGGAGGAAGGAAGGAAGGGAGGGAGGAAAGGAAATACAGTTATTTTCTTCTGGATCCAGTCTAGGAGTTAAAACCCAGAGGAACGAAGGAAGTAAGATTTGCTGATTTCAACTGCCAGTCAGTACATTATAAAACTCCGTTCTCACAGCCACCAGGAAGACCCTGAGAATAACTGCCCGAGTTATGCCCTTTACTTATTAACCAATAAGTAAATTTGCGTTATGGGCACGTTATTTACTCTGTGGGAAAAATACCTTTTCGGCGCCCCTGTTTTCTCCTTTCTGATGGTAAGATTTAAATGAGGTAATATGCGTGCAGCTGTTAACACAGTAATTGGGAAAACAGTGAATGCTCAACACATGTTGGATATTATTGTACCTCGGGATGGAGAAACGGGCTCCGAGCAGTTGAGTAACGTGGCCAACTCACAAGGCTAAGTGTCATGGCCCGGATTCCCACTTCACTTCTATGGCTCACGCTCTGGACTCTGCACCATGTTCTGGAGCTGTGCAAACACCGCCCGGGGGCGGGGGGTGTTGCACGGAACCCCACAGCTGGGCGGGCTCAACATGAATTAGCAGACGTGACCCCTCTGGAGATACAGCCTCTCTGCTCCGCTCGTGAGAAGTTCACGGGCCCTTGCGATCCTTCTCTCTGCCCGAGGAATACCTTCGTTCATTAATGGGCAAACTAACAAGTAAATAAATAAACACATGCAAAAGGAAGGCTGAGAATTGAGACAAACATTTGCAGAGCACTGTGCCGGGGCCTGGCCCGAGCTGGGAGCTGCAGAGAGCCCCGTGCACAGAAGCCCAGGACATTGTCTGGAAGACACCAAGTCCCCTTCACAAATCTCCTGGGGCTACGTGGACTCTTCTCTCCAGAGATGCCTTCAATCTCTGGCCTAGACTCTATACTCCAGAGGTGCCTTTGATCTCTGGGCATTGGTTTCTCATCTGCGGGACAAGGACACAGGGTGACATGTGGCATTTCACAGCATTTTAATTCCCTAATGATTCACATCGAAAGAGATCTGAAGCCAGGAATTACCAGGGTGCCTCTGTGTCTGACAGGCCGGTCTGATTTTTGTAGTGGCTTGAGTGTTTTAAATGATTTGAGGGATTATCAAAGGCACGCGCAGCTCTTCCTACGTCCAAGGCACTGTTCTAAGGGTTTACAGACACTGACTGAGTCAGTCCTCACCTTAGTGCCCTGAGGAAGTCACCTTTATTCTCATTCCCTTTTTACAGATGAGGAACTGAGGCCGGGACTCTGGAAAGTGCCTGTCGGGGAGCCTGGCTCCAGGGTCCTCCCTGCTTGGCTGTCTCCTCTCAAAACTGATCCAAGCAGAATGGGTTTCAATTTCCCAAATGACTTTCAATCTTCTAAGGAAGGGTGGAATAAAGGAGGTAAAGATGGGGGCCGGGGAGAAAGATGGCTAACGTGTGGAACACAGAGATGCGCTAGAGAGAAAGTGGGTGGGAGGGTCTGGGGATCTCAGATCTCTTTTTATTCGGGCAGAAAGGAGGATGTCTGGGGGCGCGTGGGTGGCTCAGTGTCATGATCTTGTGGTTTGTGGATTTGAGCTCCACGTCAGGCTCTGTGCTGACAGCTCAGACCCTGGAGCCTGCTTCGGATTCTGTGTCTCCCTCTCTCTCTCTGCCCCTCCCCTGCTTGTGCACTCTCTCTCTCTCAAAAATAAATAAACATTAAAAAAATTAAAAATAAAACTGGGGCGCCTGGGTGGCTCAGTCGGTTAAGCGTCTGACTTCAGCTCAGGTCATGATCTCATGGTTCGTGGTTTAAGCCCCGCGTTGGACTCTGTGCTTCAGATTCTGTATCTCCCTCTCTCTCTGACCCTCCCCTGCTCACACTGTCCCTCTCTCTCTCTCTCTCCCCCTCTCTCTCTCTCTCTCAGAAATAAATAAAACAGGGGCGCCTGGGTGGCTTAGTCGGTTGAGCGTCCGACTTTCGCTTAGGTCATGATCTCGCGGTTCGTGGGTTCTTGCCCCGCTTTGGGCTCTGTGCTGACTGCCTGCTCTGTGCCTGGAGCCTGTTTCAGTCTGTGACTCCCTCTCTCTCAGACCCTCCCCTGCTCACGCTGTCTCTCTCTCTCCTAGAAATAAATAAAAACATTAGAAAGAAAGAAAGAAAGAAAGAAAGAAAGAAAGAAAGAAAGAAAGAAAGAAAGAAAGAAAACATTAAAAAAAAATAAATAAAAAGGAAGGGGGACGTCTGGGCACTTGTGCGGGAACTGGTCCTCCAGAACTCCCCCTCACCCAAGAACTTCCCGACCATCATTGAACAATTCTGTGCACCCCTCCTTGGTTCCTGGGATGCAGCTGGCGGAGACCAAGGCCCTGGGACTGTGAGTCCTGTTCCGGGTCCCCAACAGGCAGAGAAACCTGGGAGCAGGTCACCTGAGCCCCTGCTGGCTGCTATACCTGCCACATTCCATTCTTCAGACCTTAAAAGCCTCCTATTCTTTTACAAATCACTGGTTCAGGCCTAAATTATCCAGATAATTGAGCCGCCTGGCCCATCACTTTGTTGGCATAGACACCATTTGTGTGTAATCTGAGAATATTCTATCTGCTGTGGAGTTTCTTCCAAAGGCATTATTTCTAACCTTCTTTAAGAACAAATTTCCTGTTGCCATGGAAATCATTTTTCGGCTAATTTTATCGGGTGCAGGAGCCGGGCCGGGAGCCGCTCTTGCATGGTTCCCAAGTTGTCTTCCTCTGGAGAGTCCTGGCTCGTCGTTGTCAAAGAGGCTCCCGGACCCAAGTGTCCTTGGTACCGGACCAGTCAGGGTGATGGCCAACGTTTTGGTTTTGAATTTTCAAAGCCTTGACATCACTTGTATAGGCATTTTCAATTTGTTTTAATGAGAAACCCCTTAAAGATTGGGGGGCTCAGTTTTATAAATATGTGCTTTCTGAGGCCGGCTTGTGGGCGAACTGTTACAACGAGACATTTTCGAGCTAGAAAAGATGACAAAATTCGGGAAGCCAAGAAGGCATTTCTTGAGCACCAAACCTGCCCTCACTGAAGTGCACGACGGGGAGCAGAGGAATAGGACCTGAAATCTGCCTCCAGGAAGTTTGCTACCTGGTGAGAATTAAATTGCTTTAGAGCTGGGAAGGCCCCCAAGGATCCGGTCTTAATACTCTCATTTTGCTAGTTGGGAAATTAATCCAAATTCTCAGAGCTGGTACTCGGGAGAGTTTGAAACCAATGTGTCTTGTCTCCCAGTCACTTGGGACCGAGTTTGTATAAGCTGGACGGCACCTCTCCTCCAAGCTCCCGCCTCATCCCCCCTATCCCTCACCCCCCTCCCGACATGCTCTGCTCCCTACTGTCCTCACCTCCGTGTCTTGTACATTCAGTTACTGCTCTCTGGAACCCACTGTCACCCTTTTGGACGCTTTTGTTACTCTTCAAGGCTCGTCTCAAATGTCACCGTCTCTGAAATTCTCTAGACTGGCCCTCTTGTGGAGCCCACACTCCGCTGCAATTATTTGTGTGTCCGCCATCTTGTCCAGTGGACATGGAACCCCTTGACCACAGGATTCTATTAGTCTCTGCATTACGGTGTCTAGGACAGGACCCAGCATGGAGGGGACACTCGATGAGTGCTTGAAGAACTCAGTCATCCTAAAAGCCAACATAGAAGAACCTACTATACACCGGGCCTGTATTAATGCATTAACTCTGTTTTGATCTGTTCGGGCTGCTCTACCACAATGCCACATTCTAGGTGGCTTATAAACAGCAGAAATGATTCGCTTCCTGTTCTGGAAGTCTGAGATGATGCTGCACAGTCACTTGAGGTCACTCTGTGACTCTGACTTTCAGACTGCGGCTCTCTGGCTACGTGGAAATGCTAGGGAGCTCTCTGGAGTCTCTTTTGTTAGGGTGCTAATCTCACTCAAGAGGGTTCCACCCTCATGACTAAGTACCTCCCAAAGGCCTCACCTCCTAATATGGAAACCTTTGGGAGTTAGGATGTCGACACATGAATTCTGGAGACCATGGCAGACTCACTGAAACCCTCACTGATCCTAGGAGGTCAGTGCGATTATTACCCTATGCGGCTGTGGAGACACTGAGGTACCCCACAATCACTTGCCTAAGCCATCAGCTGGAGTGTGCTGGAGTCTGGGTCCCTGGGAATCTTGCCTCCAGAACTTTCACCTGTCACGGCTACTCTGGATGCTTTTTGAGTCAACACTCAGTCCCGAGCTGCAAGAGTAAATCTCATTTTGCAGCCAAGGAAATGGACACTCAATGAACAATAAAATGACTCTTCCAAAGTCACACACACATCCGGCCGTGGAGCTGGGAAGTCTGGCTTTGAAGCTGCTGCTTTCATCCTGTCACCAGACCGAGCTGAAATTTGCGTGTAAAACAACATGGCGCGGACCATAAATAATTTAGAGCCAGCTTCTCTCATGAGACTTTCTAATTTTCTCTTATAATCCCTACTCTAAATACGTCAATTCAGACGTATTCCTACTCTATAGTGCAGAACCCCCCGAGGCTTTTCTATTCTGTGTATGTCTGAGCCACATAATAAGCATGGGTACAGGGTGTGTGTGTTTGGGGGGCGGGGACGGGGATCAGCTTCTCTCCATCAGAGGAAAAGATCCCTGGTACTGAGACTCTGAACACATGGCTCTGGATTCTGTTGCTGCTATTTATATAATATCTTTAACTTGAGATCCTTGAACTTGAACTTTTCAATCAAAGGAATAAATGGAAAGGAACCAAATGGTCTCTCCTGAAGAAATGAAGATGCTGACCCCGTCTGTGCAGGGCATCCCCGGGAAGGCCCAACTACTTGCAGTGTGCCTGGGTGATGGGTGATGCTTACTTCAATTGCCCTTTTTCCCCACTAGAGGATTGGGAACGTCCCCTCGCCTAGATGTGGAAGGCTGATCACAGGAACCATCAGCCGTGGTCTTGTTGCTGGTGCCACCTTCTCCTGGGGACTCTGCTCGTCCAGGCCAGGCTGGTCACCATATGTGGCTGTAGTGGTTTCAGAAGGCAACTGGCTGTCGGGCTTCTCCTGTGCTGTTGCTCTCACTGTGTATACGTGTGGTTGAAAAACTAAGGAAATCCACGTGTTGATGGCCTTGGCCACAAGAGCTCAGAGCTACTCTGCCCAGTGAGACTTCCTGGTAAGCCCTTACTTGGTCCTGGTAGTCATGTTCCTGCCATTTTGCTCCAGCCTTTAGCTTTTATCGGGCTCCTTGAAGTCCATTAATGTATTACTTGTAATCATCATGTTCACCATCAGAGCTGCCTGCAGTGGGTTGTGGTGGGACTCCAGTGAGAGCCCGCAAGTCCTTCTTGAGCAAACGTGCCTGATCCACACTCTTGCATCGTATGGTCGGGTTTGCAGGAGCCGGTATAGGTCCAGCTGAGTCAGGAGGCAACTAACAGTCAGGACGATGGGTTAGTGGGGCATTGCCGCAGACCACACAGACGGCTGCCCAGAATCTCACTGCTGTCTGCTTCGCTCCCTAAATCAGTCACCATGACCTCCTCCCAGCTGTTCGGACATTCCATTCTCAAGGCCTAAGGAATACTCGGTGGCCGAGCTAGTTGTTACATCACTCCTTGGATTCTTAGTACGTGGAATGAAAACGCCCGCCATGCCATAGTCTCCATTTCAGGGATCTGAGGGCGGAGTCATGTTTGGGGCAGGACTGGCGGTGTGGGAACAGGGAGCACGCTCTGATGGATACGGCATCATGGAGCCAGAGGATGAAGGAAGCAAATGTTTAGAGGCAGCTGCTTGTGATAGTCAGGAACTCTGTAAGAGTCTTTTCCTTGACTCTTCCAGGAAGCTGACTCTTTCAGGAAGACATTCTCATTCCCAGCTAACAGGTAGATAAAGTGAGGCCCAGGTGGACTGCCATGTGGCTAGAAGTGACAGAACTAGCTGAGTCTATCTGCTTCTATCTGCTGCAACAGCCCCATCCGAATCAGCCCTTAAACAAGGTTCACGTTCCGAGTCGTTCATTATACAGGGAAAGAGCTTCTGAGGCCTGTTGAGGTTGATTTGCATAATTCATTTTTAGAACATTAATTAGCCGGGATGTGTAATAGTTCTTGTGCCAATTTGTGTTTCAATTTCAAATGCAAATACAAATTAGCAAATGTTATTCCTGTGGCACCTTAAGGATGAAACATTTGCTGCTTGTAGTGAGTATTAATCTTTACATTTCTGAAACTATGACTGATAGAAGCGATAATATCCTCTAATTTGAAAGATTGAGAAAAAAATCGAGTCTGGTGAGGGGGAGGGAGGAGTAAGATATAGTTTTTTTCAACAAAAGAAAACAGCATGTTAGGCATCCATCCATCTATCCATCCGTCTGTCCATCCATCCATCCATCCGTCCATCCATCCGTCCGTCCGTCCATCCATTCATCCATCCATCCATCCATCCATCCATCCATCCATCCATCCATCCTTCCATCCACCCATGCCTTCATCTGTCCAGCCATTAAATAGCATTGAGCATGAACTAAGTGTCAGACTGTGTGGTATGAGACAGAGATGGCTCCAGAGAGTTCTCAC